TTTTTTTTTACTTCGAAGCCAAATGCAAATCCAACTATTAGTTTTGGTCATACAGCCTTTCAGGGCAATCACAAGTGTGTTTATTTTTGGTACTCGAATTTTGCCATGGATTGCAAGATGTGGAGAAACTATATCCGACAAGGTACTGAGAATAGATACCAAATTAATTGCATAAACATGTTACAGAAATAATATACATAATCACATATCATAATATGATAAGTAAACAAATGATAATGGATGATGCATATGATAGATTTAAAGCCAATTAAGTAAACCAAGTTTCTCCTTATTAGGAAAGCAAATGATACTTTAAGATAATATAAGAGATACAGAAATTTCTAAATTATAGATATATCAGAGAGCAGGGCACTTTGCATGTAAATATGATTCGGAGGAACTACTTTTATTTTAATGCATGTGCAACTTTTTTTAGATATGGCAATTGAAAATTTTCTACCACCTTTGGAGAGTAGAAGAATTAAGAATTAAACTATGGTTTCATAAGACATATATGGTGTATCATGTATGAGCTTAGTAGTAATGAAAAGAGAGAAACAAACTAAAAAGGATGTTTGCTTACAAAAAAATTCCAATCTAATAACTTAGCAAATTGATAAATATTGTCTGATGTTATGCATGTTGTCTGATGATTTTCTTCATTGCTTTCATATGTTTCACACCCCTCCTTTGTAATCAAATGTTACAACTACAAATGATCTTGAGTTAATATAAGACAATCATTTTTTTAACTGTTCTTTTATCAAACCTTCATTATATCACTCTTTTTCTTCTTAATTGCTCTCACAAATAAAGGTTCTTTATTTTAGTTTTGGATATGCAGCATCTTTAGATTTCTCTGATCTTACACAGTAATAATTGTTAAGTTGTTAAGACTGCAATTTAATAATAAATTGAAACCCTGAATGTGTTTGTGTTTGTGCTAAATAGCTAACTATGTACTAAAGAGTTAGACTTTCAAAAAGACATGTGATTTACTGAAAACAAGTGCATTTAGTTATTCGTAACATGTGCCCATAGAGAAGAAGTAAACAGTAGTCTTCTAGAAATTCCTTTTAATGACTTTCCATATTCAATTTTGTTCTTGAAGTGTTTTGTTTAACTCTGAATTATCTCCCTCAGTGTGAGCTTCATCCTAATATAAATTTTCAATGATATAACAACTAACTTAAGTTGATATTGTATAAATTGCTTTGTTATATTTTGTATGACTAGTCTGCACTAACTCAAACTTCTATCTTTATTGGTGGACAATGGTTATCATTACAGTGTAATGATATTTATATGATAGAAATAAATAATTTATACATTATTGATGTGTCAGGACATAGTGTCACGTCATTATCTGGATCCACATGTGCATTTACATATAGAAATTGGTTTGCTGGTGTACAATCCTTTAGACCATAATTAACATTTGTTTATGCTGTTACATTTAATTTTAATTCAATTTCATGTATTAAGATCATATATTCATGATTTATGTTCTCCAAAACATGATTCATTTGCTTTCCTTCTACATGATAATAGATTATTATGGATGCTCCAAACATGCAGCCAGTCATATACTACTGGATACCTCTCTTTTATCTATTTCATCTATAATGATTAGAAATGAGACTAACATTTATGGCAGTGAAATCTGGATTCATAATTTTCCTTCATAGATTCTTTTTTAATTATTTTTATAACCATGTTATTGGTACCCCCAATAGATTTAGTACTAAAACATCATAAATCAGGAAGGGGTCTTCTTTTCTGTTCATGATTTCTTCATTGCTTTCGTCATGGTTTTCACATAAGGGACGTTTAAGAGAAAGGCCATTTACTTCAACATAGGGTCCTCAAGCACCATTTTTTTTTCCTACAAAACCGTTTCACAGGAAAAAAGCCTTGTTAGTTGTTAAGTTTTGGCCTTGACACATTCTTAACTCATCAACAACAGCACCTTGATCACAAGTTAATGCAATAGAAACTGATTTTCTCATGTAGCGGTAATGCTGAAATATACCTGTCTGAATCATTGCAATAACACATGAAACAGAATAATAACTAAAGCTAAGTGACTTTTAGTTTCAATAACGTATTTCTTCATGCTAAATGTATGCTTTAGTTTACTTGCTAAATCCAATAATGTAAGTGTAGCTTTGGAAGAAAATTTTCTCACAGTTCATCACATTAACTATTGCAAATATTAAAATCAACTCCATTGCTGTTTCTTGTATGCTTTCTATCCCAAAAGATACACTCACAGTCACAGGTGTCTCACACAACAATCCATATATAGGCCACAGACAATCAGCCGAAGGAGTCGCTTTGAACATCCAAACATCAACCAAGCCAGAAAACGATTCCACGGCTTCCCAGAAGGCAATGGCCAAGGAAACTCCACCTAGGCCAGCCAATACCAAGCCGGAGAATCCGGCCAAAAGGCATAAACTGGGGAACTACTGCAGCCTTAAAGGCGATGTAATGGAGATCCTGAGGCAGATGCCAAGTGTGACTACTACTGGAGATGGCCCCAATGGGAGGAGAATAGAAGGGTTCCTGTACAAGTATAGGTCTGGTGAAGTGTGCATTGTTTGTGTGTGCCATGGTAGCTTCCACACTCCAGCAGAGTTTGTGATGCATGCTGGGGGAAAAGAAGTGGCCAACCCCATGAAGCATATCACTGTTTTTTCTAACTCATTTTAGAGGCAATGGCAATGAATGAATGGCTTTAAAGTTCATCCATCTTGGAATGTAGAGGCAAGTGGAAACAGTGAAACTATCTTTGGTTAGTTTAGTTTCCATTAATTATATTATCCATTGTGCTGTGAAAGGAAATTTTCATCAAAGGTTGTTGGTACTTTTTGTGAACCTATGTGATACAAGGTAAAAACATGAGAATTAATTATGTGACTTAGGTCAAAACTTTTTTCCCTCACTTTTAAGGTGTGTATTCAACCTTACATCACTTAGTCTTATCATGGCTAAATGGTTCTGGTATTCAGTTATCCGTTAGGAGCACAACCTCTATACTACTATAAATTTTGATACTGTGGTTGATGCTCTGAAGTGTTCAACTAGCATCACTCGGGGAATAAGAATTCCACCATGCATTATACATAGTGGAATTCTGTATTTTGCATTAACCTGCTCATGACGAATTCGTAACTTTTATTGTTCAAGTTTATAACCCTTTGCAAAAAATTTGTAATTAAAAAACAGTGTGGTACTCAGTTTTTTTTTTTTCAGGGAGTATTGCAGAGAAACCCTAATAATAATATAAAAAAAAGTCAAAAAATTGAACACAACCGATATTTGAATGAAAGAGTTGAACAAAAAATAGTTTATTTTATTCGTCTCTGGAGTATCTACTGCCTATAGCAGTGACTGCATACACAAGGCATGATTCGAACCCTTGACATTGTTTAAACATGGATCAACCCGTACCGCTGAATCACACGTTTGGGGTTACAAAAAATAGTTTTATACTGTGTAAATGAGTCTAAGGAGTTATAAAAAAATCTGATTTCAAATTATTATATAGTTTTTGATATATTTTTCACATAATTTATAGTATGTTTATAAGTTTTTGAGTTTAGAGCATTAATTGAAATTTATAATTATCGTATAAGTGAATTTAATGGGATATTTTTTATGTTTTGTATCGGTTAAATAAAGATACAAAATTGTGTAGTAAAATTAAAAATAATTATTATTTTAAAAAAGACCAAATCGAATTACATTTAAAAAATGAAAGATTAAAATGAGTGTTTTAAAAAATAATAAATCAAAATGAATCTTAAAAATAAAATAAAGAGACAAATGTATAATTTATCCTATGATATATAATTAAATGTTATTAATTTTTTTCATAAATTAAAAAATTAAATTGGAATGATAAACATTTTGATACTTCTAAACTATAATAATTTCTCATGGCTAAATTAATTATTTGTCTTCAGATAAATATAGTTGGTATCATTAATTAATTCTAATGTATTTATAATACTTCTCTCATGCATATAAAAAAAAATAATACTATTGTTTCGATTATAAGTAATATAGAATAAATTATTTAGATTTATAGGTTGTTTTTAATTAATTTTGTCATAAATTTTAATTTTATTTCAAAGAAATTTTTTTATTTTATTTTAAGTGACTGTTATATTTAATGCTACTTATAAGTAAATACATAGAAAATAGTGTTAGTAATTAATTAAAAGTATAAAAAATTAATTATTCTTTAGTAACTTTAAAAACCTAATAATTTTTGTTTATAACTAAAAAAAATTAATTTGTTGTTTATTATCAAGACAAAAATAGTATATCATAGCAGTGCAACACTTGATATTAATTCAATTATACATATATATAAAGATGTAGGTGAGCCTCGCGCCTGATTGACCATTGTAGGATTTTTTTTTTTAAATTAATTATGTTAATGAGGCTATTTTGAAACTATTTACATCTTTGGAATTGTTTATTATGGTGTCGCTATGGGTCATAATGACACCAATGCCACGTGTATGTATATATATATATATATATATAAGGAGGGTTCAAACGATATCGGTGTAACTTTTACTAAGTATTACACTACTCAATAACTTTATATTAAATGTGAATTTTATAAATCCAACCGTTAGATTGAAAATTCTTTATTCTTAGATCATATATACAAAATTTTATAGTAATCCAATATGATTTGATACTTTATTCTTATAAAAAAAATTGATGTAATATATTTATTTCAAAATATACTAAAATATGAATACTTTGATTACTCTCAAGTTGTTGTTCAATTTTAATAAAATTTGACATACACACACGCACACACGCGCACACACACACACACACAGACACACAGACACACACACACAAACACACACACACAGACACACACACAGACACACACACACAGACACACACACAGACACACACACACACACACACACACACACATTACTGACTGTAACGACTTTAGTAGTGTCGTTACTGGCTGTTTCAACATCTCAAATGACTTAATTTTTTTAAAAATATTTTTTTTCATAAAAATAAAAAAATATATTTTAAGAGTTGATCATTTAAAATATTTTAATAATTAAAATTTTTTTTTTTAAAAATAATCTAGAATATTTCACTCAACCAAAAATAAATTAGTAGTATTTTTTAAAATAAATTTAAATAAAAATAATTAACATTAAAATAAATTCATTTTTTTTATAAAAGAAAAGTTTTAATTTTTTTTTGGAAAAAAACTGAAAAAAATGTTAAAAAAATGAAAAAAAACATAAGTGAGTAATAAAAGGACAACAAAATGAAAAAAATAAAAAATATAAAAATAAAATAAACAAAGGTCACTATGGGTCATAGCGACTTTGAACAACGGTTAACTATGGTAAACAAAAATAAAAAAAAGAAAAATAATAGAAGAAAAAATGTGAAAAAAAACTGAAAAAAAGTTATATTACCTTTGATTTTATTTTCTAAGAAATTATATTACCTTCAATTGTTTAAACAAATTAATATTTTAGATATTTTAATATGTTTACAAATTATATAAATTAAATATTTTAATATGCTTACATTATTTTTTTTACAAAAAATAATTAAATGGTGTTGCTATAGGTCATAATGACTTCATTTAATTAACGGTATAAAAAGAACATCAAAATAACATGCATCTCCCTTTGATAACTGTCAAATAAAACAACATCCAGAGAGTTATACTCATCCAAATAATCTCAAACCTATCTTAAACGAAAGATAAGAGGATAATATACAACTCTTATGAAGACATTAAATTCTAAATAAATCATCTACTTGGCTAAAAATGTCAAAACCCGTAACAAACATAATCAATGTTGACAGCTTGACCCCTGTTAACTAAAATAGTCATAGCTAGAGTTCTAGACCTCATTTTTAGGTGATTCCAACGCCATTGGAAAGATAACATCCAAGGATACAACTTTTATAAAGTTATAAAAGTCTAATTCTAAAAGTACAAAACCGATCAGCGCCTCCCAAAGCGCTCAACACTTTGCTTCCAGGGATTCTCCCCTGACACACGACCCTCAAAGGGATAAGCCCTTTTAAATGGCTCAGCCATTTCAAAAGCACTCAATCCTTTGGTTACAAAAATCCCCTTCTGTCATGTGGCCCCCAAAGGGCTCAGTCCTTTAAAACGGCTCAACCATTTGATGATAGAGGCACCATGTTTTTCACCATTTTTGGACCTCCACACCTGAAACTCAGAAAAAACTCACATGCAATGGAAGAGATAACATCCATGCACCAAAAATAGTTCAATTCAAGTTCTAGAAACAATATGCACTCATCCGATGCATCAAATCAGCCAAAACCCCGTTTTAGCTCGAAAACCCAAAAAATGGAAAAATCCCTCAAATAAGCAAATCAACCTCCAATTCATGCATAAATTGAGTTTCTAAACTCACATGCAACCAAATTATCACAATCCTAGCTTCCCTTACCTGAAAATTGGCTCAGAACAGTCAAGAAGAGGAAGAAGAAGAAAAATTTCTGAATAGTCGACCCGTAGACTTCAATCTTCCAAAATCAAGCTTTCTAGCTTAAATTTAAAGAAAAGACAGAAGAGATTAATGATCTAGAAGAAAAAAGGAATCAAGCAGAGAAATTTGGGAGAAAAAAAAGCTCACGGACCCATAGTCCTTCTCTCTAAAACTTCTCTCTAGATTTTCTTTAAAGATGAGCTTATTAGGTTTCGTTCTCAAATAAAACCTTATATATCCTTCTCTCTAGAGTTAACTAAACTCTAAACAATTAACTTACTACGTTACAACAAACATTTGCAAAAATATGGAGAAGTTGATTCTAATGATGAGGTCAAATGTCTACATAATTTTTTTTTTGAAATTTATAGTATGTAATTTAATCTAATTAATTTTTGTATAATTATTTTCACAGGTCTTAGAGAATATTGTTAACACATGATCATGATGTTGGACGTTTAATTACAACTTTTATTATATTGAATTTTTTTTAAAAGTTTATTTACAATAATTGAATGTTTAATAATCTTTTACTTATTTTGTAATGTTAAAGATCTAAAAAATTAATATTATGTTTACTTATGTGAAATGTCTCTCGATAACTGTCAAATAAAACAACATCCAGAGAGTTATACTCATCCAAATAATCTCAAACCTATCTTAAACGAAAGATAAGAGGATAATATACAACTCTTATGAAGACATTAAATTCTAAATAAATCTGTTAATCGTTATGGAGGATAACGAACTTACGTTTAATATATTTAATTAATATTTAATTAATATTTTTATTTATTTAATAATTTATGAAATTTTTATTTTACTACTAATAAAAAATAATACTTTTATTTTTATTTTTTCTAAAAAATTAATATTTTTAAAAAAATAAGTAAATTGTGTCTTTATAACCTTATAACCTTAGCGACTTTATTTAATTATTATTTTTAAAAAAAATTTAAGTGTTATAGTCTATAACGATTTCGTAGAAAAAAAATTAAGTCCTTGTGTATCGCTATAACTAATTACGACTTTAATTAGACTGCTACCAATTCTAACAACTTTTATTACATAGCTTTCATGACTTCTAAAGAAAATAAATTACATATAACACTAGTGTCACTTTGACCTCTATGATGACATTATAGTAAATAACTCTAAAAATATAAATAATTTCAAAACAATATCACTTATGTAATTAGTTTTTAAAAAAACTCTACAATGATCAACCAGGCGAGCCTCGACAGTTGGCGTGACCCTGTGACCCATATTAGACTTCACATTTGAGAAAGCCTTGTCTTGTGAACTATCAAGGCCATTTTGTAATCTATAATATATGATTTTTGAATTTGGCCACCAAATTAGGGGTAACTCGTATTGCGGACATGGCTGAAAGTGACCCTGTTGTCTG